TGGGAAGGGTTTATAAAGCCTTACTATATATATAAATAATAAAATAAATATAATATCAGTACTTTGCAGATTTTCACCTATCACAGGGGTCTCTGGAATGTAACTCCCGTGATAGGTGAGGGTTCACTGAAAGCAGAAATTGAGCTAGGTGTGGTGGTACATGCCTGTAATCTCAGCACCAGGGAGGCTGAGGCAGGAGGACTGCTATGAGTTCGAGGCCAGCCTGCACTGTAGAATGAAACCCTGTCTCAAAAAGGCAAGAAAGAAAAGAAAGAAAGAAAAAAAAAGAAAGAAAGAAAAAAAGAAAGAAAGGAAGAAACTGAGTGGTAAGTTGAACGCAGTAGTACATGCCTGTAAGCCCAGGTACTTAGGGATGGCAAATTCAAAGCCAGAATGGGCAGCTTAGCAAGACTATCTCATAAAAGGCTGGAGATACTGTGCAGTGGTAAAGTGCCTGCCTAGCATACACAAGGCCCTGAGTGTGATCCCTAGTAGAGGGAGAGCAGTGTGGAGAACTATGAAAGTAGTTTGGAAACAGATCTAACAAAATTTGGTAAAGGACAAGCATTAACTGTTTTTTGAGATGTGGCTGGATGGAAGTAGTCTTTTAAACAGAGATATTCTACCTATTTTTTTGTTTTGTTTTGTTTTTTGTTTTTTGTTTTTTGTTTTTCTCCGGTACCGGGAACCGAACTCACGACCTTGCGCTTGCCAGGCAGGCGCTTTCGCCGCTGACCTAAATCCCCAGCCCCTTCTACCTATTAAAAGTAGGAAAAAGGTAGAGGTTTACCAGTTAAAAGATAAGCAATTAACAATTTGCTGTAAACAAGCCATTCTACTCTCTAAATTGAGGAAGGACTGTCTCTTACCTTTTATCCAATCTAGAAAAATTTCTACATCCATTTTTTTAGATCAGTTGGAGTCCACTTGGAATTATACATAAATCTGAGAATTTTTTTATTTTTCAGGCATAAAAACTAGGCAGTATAATAAAAGGTATTTCATACTTACATACAATTTAGGATAACATTTTAGTTAGTATTACTGGAATATTATGGTAATGAAACATTTATTTAGTTATGAATATTCTCAGAGCACATGTGGTTTAAAAAAATCATCACCAATTTCCTAACTGGAGTACCTCATCTAAACCACAGAGTGAGTATTTTCAATACTCCCAAGGTTGATACAAAAGTAGCACTATTTTAGTATACAAAACCTAAGTGAATGCATAAAGTAGAATGTCTTGGGGCATTAGGGTTTAATTCTTTCCTGGAACCCCTGGAAACTAATCTTATGAACTAATCTTTAAAAAGGCTATAAAATGAAGTAAGATTAGTTGATGGTTTTAATAAACTCAGATTGAGAAATAGCTGAAAACTCTTAGCAGAACAGTCGTCTGGACAGAGAACATTCTGAGTGAAGATCTATTAGATAGGCCCTAAGGAAATTCATGTGCTACTAGTGATTTCCTCATTTCCCTAACCAAGTTATTTCGTTATTAGATCCATCTGTCTGTTCTTAAATATTTGCCCTAAAAATTGATTATTTCAATGATTTTGTCTCACCACCCTTTTAATACTCAGATAAACCCCAGACACCCATATTTTATCATGCTTCTTCCCTAGGTAAAATAAAATGATAAAGGGTAAGTCATAAACAGATAAACGTTAAGCCCTGTAACAGCTCACCATGGCAGCCAGAGTAAGGGAAAGGCCATGGACTTTTATTTAAAAAGAAGGAACACAGGCTTTAAATGATCTGGTTTCATGTCTTAGCCCCAAAGGCATTGTGCGCCCTTGAAACAGTTATCTACTGGTTTGGAATCCTAGTCCCCAATTCTTTCATAAAGATGTTCATTTATACTTTTATCAGATTTTAATGTGATATTTGTGAAAACTGTAACACAATTCCTGACACCTAGAAGTGCTGTCAATTAATACCCACAAATTTCCTGGCATTCCAGGCTTTCACAAATTCTCCCCCTCCCTTCCTTTTCAGGTTTGGCTTAACCTTCAACCTCAAACACACATCTCTCTACTGCTCCTGTGTAACCCACACTCATCTTCCACCTAAACTTGTACTTTGTTATTTCTTTTTCTTGTAATGCTGTCTTGCTCCTACTCACTAAACTGAATTCTCCATCCTTCACAAGCTACAAGATACAGACCCACTTCCTTCACTGGACGCTCCTCTGTCCCACCACTCCATACTGATTTCATTCTTCTTCGAAAGAGTTCAGGCTTACTGTCTATATTTTCATCATTTTATCGTAAAATTTCAAAGACAGACTAGTGTTGCTCTCATTAATGTTATTTACTTTATAAATGTAATAGAAAATGGAGCATTTCTATGTCTCAAAAACTAAATAAATTAAGAAGCATCTTGCACTTCTAAAGGCAACATATTTGCTGCACATGCATACATTGCACTTTATTGACAAACTGTGCTTTTTGCGGATGGACATTTCACCACAGTGCTTAGTAAGTGGTCTTTACTTAACAGATACTTGGTGAACATATGGCTGACTAATCAAGTGGCAAAATTTACATGACTTTCTTCAAGGAACTAAACTAACATAAGACTCATTAATCTTTATATCATTTTTATGTAATAAAAAAACAAGTATTATAATTTCCAGTTATATTTGATCAGTGGCCTCAGGTTTTATCTGCAGCTATAAAATGAATCCATACAAAATAACAGTATGAATCCATACAGAAAACAAAAGAATCCATACAGAATACTTGATGTTTTTTTAAATTCTATAACTAATTTCAATAATATGGGCAGCAATGTTTTCATATGAGTGATAAATATAAATATGTGTATAGAAACAAAGATATGTTCATCTACAAAACAGAATCACAAAAAAGAAATTGAAATACACATTTTTAGTTAAGAATCCAAAATTCCAACTCCCACCCATCTTTGCTATATAAACCTAATAGGGATTAGGCTTAACATTTTTTATACATCAGCAACCTCAGAAAAGCTATACTAAGAAAATGGACAATTCAAAATTCATAATAAATATTTAAAGAGCATTCAATAACAAGGTAGATATGGGTCCCAGCATATTCCAGATACTGTGAGAAAAGATATAATTGATTACTTAGCTCTATACTTTCTTAAATCAGAACTTCTTAAATTTTTCTTCTGAAACCATCCTGACCTTGAATACCACAAAATACCATAAAAGCTGAAAACATAACCTAAAACCATATCACATTTTAAATTCTCATACTTCATCTAAAATTTCATCCTCCAAGATGTGCCATATTTATTTCTAAGGCTTTGCATATCTCCTGACATATCATCATGTACTCTCAGTGACATGTGACCTACTTTGAGATGTAATAACTAAAACCAACATGTGTATCAAAAAGTATCTTCCTAGATTATGATATTGCCTCTGGCACATAACAAGAGAATTATTTGACATTTGTTAAGTACTAGGTATGCAAAAGATATTACATGAGAACTGTGTATATAGATAGATACAGATATATATACACATATATATATACACATACAAAATCTCAATTTTGAAAATGTAATATGACCATGTCTAGGATAATGAAGGAACTGAGGCACAAAGAGATTAAAATAGCTATTCTATTGCAATATAATTAATGAGTATGGCTGCTTTGTACCCAGGTCTTTAATACATTATGACCTCATTAATGTATTTTATTGTTACAGATGTCTCCTCTGACCTATTTTTTACTTACTTTTCAAGAATTTAATGAAAGCTTATTGTGACCAGCTCAACAAAAACTTCTCGCTTGTTCCAGAGCTATAAGGCTAATCAACCGGCATAAGACAATTTATACTAGCCACTAAATTGGGGCCATTCTTAAGTTAGACCTGGCACTGTAAACAGAATAGGATATAATTTCTTGCACATAACATACATCTAATCCAGAAAGGTACCATGGCATAACAGAAAGAACATGGAATAGGAGTTACTCAGAAAATCTTAAAACTATCATTAGCTTCTGTCACTAACTAGATACAGGTCCTTAAGTAAATTATTTGCCTATTTGGAATTTATGTTCACCATATGAAAGGAGGTGCTAGTAGATTCTTAGGATTTTTTCCATTCATAAGGTTTTATAACTTTTAAAATTTGCTACCCACTCATTTTAATTTAATGTTTTATTACTCTTAGTATATCTCTATGCAATTAAATTTTTTTCTCTATGTTTCCATGTACTCAACTACCAGGCTTGGTCAGTTCTCCTTAAAACACTCCCTTGGTCATTGCTTCTTAACCATTTCATTTTATAGTACTTTATTGAGCACAACAAAAGCGGCCAACAAAAGCTGCTGCTTTATAGTAAGTTTACTCAACTCTATTGCCAAAATGTTTAGGATGTCAGAAGCTACTTCAGTGTATTTGTTTTTGCAAAGGTTTGGTGATTGGACATTTGTACTTAAGTACAAATATTGAGGTACATTAAAAGTCATAGATAAATTATATCACTAACCATTGTCCAGTCTGATTTGCAATCTGCTCTTCTAATTTCTGTAGCTCAGATGTATAAGCCATTATTCGAGCATTGCACACCATGAGATTCTTAACTGCATGTAAAATCTGGTCTTTTTGAGTGCTCAGGGAAAGGAGTTTCCATATTCCTTCTCGAATTCGAATTTCTAAGTCTATTTTTTCTTGAATGTTGCAGTCCTAAAATAAAGAGAAAAGTAATGTTAAAAGGTAGCAAAAATTCAAATTACATTTCTTTTTACCTTTAATAGCCGAAAAATGTGCTGCTATCATTCATTTTACATCATATTAGCAAAAAATTGTAATATGTAACATGTTAAAATAGAGCTATTTTTAAAAGATTTCTGCAGCTGGGCATGGTAGTAAATGCTTATAACTGTAGCGCTCCGGAGGCTGATGCAGGAGGAGCACTGTGAGTTCAAGGCCAGCCTGAGCTCCACAGTGAATTCAAGACCAGCCTGAACAACATAGCAAGACCATGTTTCAATCAGTCAATCAAGCAGTCAACGCTCTTCACAAAAGTTTAATTTCTGCTGTTACCTACTGGATAAATAGGACAGAAACAAAGATGAGAAAAATTACATGTTCTTAACTGTACAAGTTTAAAAGTGTCCCCCAAAATTCATGTCTACCCATAAGCTCAGAATATAACCTTTACTGAATATATTGCTCTGCAGATGATATTAAAATGAAGACATACTGGGCTATGGTGGGCCCCAAATTCAATAACTAGTGTCCTTATAAAACAGCATTATGAAAAGAGACTGTGATAATAATGCTAAGGAACACTTAGAACTGATGGCAACAACCAGAAGTTGAAAAGGGCAACTTCCAGAGGGAACGTGGCACTGCCAACACCTTAACTTCAGACTTCTGACCTCCAGAAATTTAAAGAGAGAAAAAAATTCCATTTTCTAAGCCATACAATGTTGGTCATTTCCTATGACAGCCTTAGGAAATGTACAATATAACTAATGTGAGCAATACACTACACATATATATCACATAAATTGTATCACGGGATTGTAAGATGTAGATGAGGATGCTGAATTAACCAAGGACAAACTTTCCGAAAGCAGGTTCCTGAAGGAAGGAACCAAGTCTTAGCTGCAAGGAGATAATAGGCCATTTGTCATGATAGGCAGTGTAAATAAAACCTCAGAAACAACAGAGTGAAACCGTTGTGCTTAGAAAATGTCAGAGGCCTTAGCTATCTGGAACACAGACTTAGAAAACAGTTCTGGACATATTGATTCTAGTTTTAAGAATCATCAGGAAATTACCAAGTGTTCCAGTTCTGAAAGTGCTTTATTCTATTTAATGATCTTGCAATGGCCTGATTCTGTTTCATTTTTAGCATTGAAATTCTACAAACAATGTATAGTTCTGATTTTATTCAGAGTCACTTTGTAACAATTATAAATCATAGATATTCTTTTTTACGACAGACTATTGTCTATTTCTAGGCAGGCGCTGTGCTACTGAGCTATATTCCAGCCCTACTGTCTATATCTAAACATTAAGTGACCACCTTGGATTCTATAGATTGAAAAAAAATGAAAACATTTACTTCTAATGTATCAAAATATAAACTGCAAAATTTTAATGAAATCTACTAACAAGAGTTTCAGATATTAAAGCCAATTTAAAAAAAAAAATCAAGATGAAGGTAGAAAGCCAATAGCCTAAGAAAAGCAAACAACAATAAATGATTTAACCTGGTTGTCCAATCAACTGTATTATTCACATGCAGAAACCAGATCTGTTTAATTGTGTTCTATAATTATATCACTTAATCACCACATAAAAACCTTCTCTTGTAGTGATATAGCTCAAAGCTCATGTATGTACTATATAAACTACATAAATATATTTTCTGGTTTCCTCCTTTATACATGACTGAATTTCAACAACTCCATTTAATCTTTTTATAACTTGTCAGCCCCAAAGCAAGTTCTTCTTTAATATAATTAGCAATTATTTATAAGAATTATCTATGTGACCCATATGTCTGAAGAAATAAACTCTGGCAGGCTGATTAGTGTTGGAAAACACTAGCAGGGAACAACTTGAAGCTGGATGGGTAGCTTCATCCCAGAACTCAAATATAAATAAATAGCATCTAGTGCCATTAAATTCAACTTTGCTTTTTAAATGAGAATTGAAGCAACAAGTTGAAGTAGCAGTATAGTACAGTGCTTCTCAAGGCAGGTTCCCCCATAAAAACACCTGAAGCAGACAGGAAGGACCTTGTGAAAGTATCTAAATCTGTTACCCCAACTAATAAGCATCTCTGTTTTTACATTTTCTTCTCCTTCTTTGTTTTTCAATTTCTCTATTGATTCAGTGTCCGGAATAAAGAGTCACTGTTGGATTACTGGAAATTCTACAGCCACCTTCAAAATTGCAACAACCTTAAAGAACCAGCAGGTGGCTGCAGCCACATTAAGGAATCAGTCTGGGTTTAGGCTTTGTGCCCAGTGAATGAAGAGTCTCTTCTGCCCCTAACTTGCCAAAGACTCTATAAAATCCAAAGGTTGGGGAAATAGTGGAAAAAGAATATAAAGTCAAAGTTTTAAAAATATTTATATGAAAATGAAGTTAACATTCATTTAGGAAATGAGATAGTCAGGAGACATTACTATCAGAATTTTACCCTTTACAGCAGGTATTAGCAAACTACAGCCTGACTGCACCTATTTTTTTGTAAAGCTGCACTAGAGCACAACCACACTCACATATATTGTCTGACTACTTTCAAGCTACAATGGCAGAGAATTTCAAGAGAAACAGCAGCACATGCAAAGCTAAAAATACCTAGTTTCTGGCCCTCTACCCACACCAATTAACACACCTAGTGATCTATAACCCTACCTTCCTTGCTGAGACAGATCTCAGAGTAGTGTGAGTTAAGTGGATCTGAGAAGGAAGAGAGAAGCAGGATAAACTAGTAAGTGTAAGCACAGCTTTTTTATGTAGTTGAGAGTTAATAATAATTTAAAAGGTTATTTTTTTTGCTTGATCTTTTTATTTTAAAGAGCAAAAATGATACAGAATTTCAAGATGATAGGGAATTAACAATTAACAATTATACTGCAGGGGCTGGGGATTTAGCTCAGCGGCAAAAGCGCCTGCCTGGCAAGCGCAAGGTCGTGAGTTCGGTTCCCGGTACCGGAGAAAAACCAAAAAAAAAAAAAAAAAAACAATTATACTGCATACCGTTATCCTCAGAGTAGTTACTCAGATGACCAGACAGTGGCATGCAAAATTGATCAAACAATATAAGTACTAACTGTTCCTTTCAATGAACTAATAGAAATTCGTGGTACAATTAGCTATCTTGTGTGTGTGTGTGTGTGCATGTGTATACATATATATACATATTTTCCCACCCTTTCTTCTTTTCTCTTTTCCCCCATCCTTGTTTTGGCTGGTGTTGTTTCCCATGCAACTATTTTTAGTACATATACATCTACTCTTTACATGCAGAAAAAAGCCCTCTGGACAAGCAATACTAACTAGCTCTACCAAAGAAAGGGTTGACTGAGCCACGCCAAAGGACTTGTCCTTTAGACAATAAAAGTGCTGCTTAGGAAGAACTGAAGTCTAGTGCCATCCCCAAAGAGAATAATGATTATGTAATAGGGACACATGCTGAGCACTTAATGGTGATATTTGCTGACTACAAAAATGGAAGAATATTTATCTGGCAAAGGAGGTATCAAGACCCCAAAAATGGAAGAACAAGGAGCTAAAATTACCTCTTTCTGCCTCAGCTACAAGGAAAGTCCAAGTAGAGACAGCTGATTAGGACCCATGACAAAACCATGTTTCCCTGGGCAAAGAATGGAACACAGAAATCCTCCTCTATTTCTGGTTCAATTTTTCTGAATAAAGACTTGCTCATAGTCAAGTGAAACAGAAGCCTATGTCACTGTTCTGATCCTGTAGATACAAAGTCAAGCTGATAAAAATAAATGGATAAGACAAGCCTAAGAATTAAGTAGGAGGACACCTTAAAATTTAAAAACATAAGCCGTATGTGCTGGCACATGCCGGTAATCCCAGCATTCGGGAGGCTGAGCAGGACTGCCAGAATTCCAGGCCAGCCTGGGCTACATAGTGAGTTCAAGGCCTTACCTACATAGTGAGACCCTGTCTCAAAAACAAACAAAATTAAAAACATAGGGCTGAGCTCATCAGTAGAACAATTGGCCTAGCATGCTCAAGGTCCTGGGTTTGATCCCAGCATCACAAACAAACAAACAAACAATAAATCTACATTATGCCAAAAAAAAAAAATCAGAAACATTGTACAAAAAAATGTACAGAAGGGCCGCTGGTAAGATAAGAAACTATCCAGAAGTAATCCTGATAGAACTTAAGTAATCCTTATAGAACTTATTCACTAATGTTAAGACATGTTAGTTAAGACACCGAGGGGAAGATGAGAGGAAAAAAAACTTGCAGAGGTTATATATAGTATCACTCAGTTTTTTTTAAGAGAAATTGTATATATTTGAAGAATGGATTAAGTGCAGTAAAAGTCTGGAATCAATCCTGACCATCCTGGCAAACAGAAATGGAGAGAAAATTCTTACATTCATTTTTCTGTATACATGTATTTTTCTGCAGTGAGGTACTGAATCTCAAATTTTATTTTAATATTTTTTCAAGAGCTTAAATATTTGAAGTTCTCAAATTCCAATAACTTTCTGGGATAGGCATTATAGCCATTTTACAACTGTGGAAATTAAACTTAGAAAAGGCAGGTAACATTCAAAACTGTACAACGAACAAAGTTGGAGTTGACCTGAATCTGACTCCAAAATCAACTTTCTTTGCTGTGAGGAGTAAGAGATAGCATCAAGATTTGAGCAGAAGTGTTTGGTGTTAATCACCTCAAAAGCTCTGGTCATCTCCTAAGATTTGTCTTATCCTATTTCATTCATATAAAAAAAAAATTCAGTGTTAAATATAACATTCTCTTACTGACTCCATATTGTTAGGTTAAAATCTATTACTATTTTGTTATTTTTTTCAGATATTCATACAAACACCTTTCTCTTATTTTGTTTTTATAATGATGAGAAATAGCTAAGCACAGTACTTTCTCACGTACATAGAACACAGCCTTTATGTATTATTTAATATTTAAATAACCATTTTCGAGCCGGGCGTGGTGGAGCACGCCTGTAATCCCAGCACTCGGGAGGATCGTTTTGAGTTCGAGACCAGCCTGGGCTACAAAGTGAGCTCAAGGCGGGCCTGAACTGCACAGCGAGACCCTGTCTCAAAAAGACAAAGAAAAAAAAAAACAAAAAACATTTTCATTCCATGCAGCTAAACCTCTTTCATGACCTTATCGTCTCTATTTTCTCTTCCACACCATTCCTAAATATTACTGCAGCATACAGCTAATAAACGAACACCTCTATGATATGCAGGAACCTCCAGAGATTGCCAATCTGCAACAAATCGAGATCGCGTAACAGAACAATCAAAACAGCCAAAGTACAACACAAGCAGTACTCTGCATCAAAATCTTTGAAACTTTTGGAAACACTGTCACAAAACAGCACAAATTACTACTAAAGGTACTGGATTTCAAAATCCAAGCTTCTAAACAAAAGTATTAGGTTTCACCCTATGAAACTGTAAATATTCTAACCAATTTTGACTTACAAAACTGATACTGACTTACAAAACTGATATTTTGTTTAACCTACTGCACTGTAGAAGTATGTAAAAGACGGTGGAGATTCACGTGGGAGTCTAGATCCAGCTAAAAGGCAGTTTTTAAATCCTAAATTTACGGTTAAGGGTGGGAAGTATAATAAAACATTCTAATTACAGCTGTGGCCAGGAAATAATGCTGGTGTCTGCGAAGTTGAAAGGTCTCTAACGCGTATCTCACGCAGCTGACTTTCACCCACTCCGGAGCTCACCTCGCGCCCCGCCCTCTCTCTGCGGGAGGACCCGGCCGAGGTCGCGTCCACAGCGGGGTCCCCGCGCGCTCCCCGCGCTCCTCCGCCGCCCTGCCGCACGCCGCCGCCCCAAGCCCGAGCTCCGCACTAGTCAGCCCGGGGAGAAGACCCCCGCCCGTCGGCCCGAGGGCGTCGCGGGAGTCCCGGGACCCCGCACCTGCGAAACCGCGAGCGTCCCGCCGGGAAGCGGCCGCAGGGAGCCGGCCTCGCCCCCACCCCGGGCCACAGCTCCCCCGAGGAAGGCGGGGTGCAGCGGCCCAAGCCCCTCTCGGGCCCCAGAGCGCGCGTCCGGGCCCCTCCTGAGCT